TGAACACGAGACGTGCACGAGGCTGTTGGCCTGAGCGGCGCTCAGCACACCGGTCGACTCATCGCAGACGACCTGCTTCAGCACCCGGTCGTTTGGCACCATCGTCACCAGCACGTCGTCCGGTGGCTGCATCGCGAGGAGAGGCCGCGGCGGTGCATCCCTTGGCGACAGCGGCGTCGACCGCTGAGGACGCTACGTCAAACGCCTTTACAACGTGGCCCTCGTCGAGCACGTTGAGTGCCATCGGCAGTCCCATCGCGCCGAGGCCGATAAAGCCGACTCGGAGCGGCATGGTGCGTCGATAGCGCCGGACGTTCTTTTTTTTGTTTTTTTCATACAGACGGATGGACACTTGCTGTAGCCACATGACACGCACACACTCGCACCGCACCGCACCCCGCACCCGCGCCCCCCCCCGCCTCGCCTGAGTTTTTTGTTCTTATTGCCCAGCCCTCAACACGGACAGACCCTTGGAGCTTGGTGTCCCAGTCGTTGGTCGGACTGTGTTTCGCCTTCCTATCAATCAATCAGACCCTATGCAATAGGTAGGTAGCTGGTAGGTCCGGATTTGACCGCCCCAGAGGGAGGGCCCCGCAATCGGTAGGTAGGTGGTGGTGGTGGAGACACAGAATGTTTTGTTTGTTTGGTGGTGTGACTGTGGTGGTGGTGGGGGGGGGGGGGGGGTAAAATACCGCTTCGTTCGCTCGCGCGGGAGACGGCGCGGTTAGCCGCGAACGGGGCCATGCCAGACGAGTCGCCTGCGGTTGGGACGCCAGCCGAGACGGAGTCGGCGGCGAAACCCGCGGCGGCGGCGCCCGGGACGGCAGCGCCGGCGAACGCGCCCGGGCGCTGGGAGCCTATTCACAGAGGGCTAACTAACGGGTATTTTTTGCTTCGCTGCGCGGCCTGGGAAGAGGTAGGTAGGTGGGGCACGGAGCCTGGGCCCTGGCGGTTGGCGCGGTCCGCAATAGGTAGGTAGGTGTACTCAGGCCCAGTGAGGTAGAGTGCATCCGACGGCCCGGATCCTGCTGAACTTGGAGCACTTGGAGTGCAGTCATCAACCTCACATCCAGGGCCGGGGAGCTAAGAAGCGCACCCAGCGGGCCAGATGATCGGCATCGGCATGGGCATCGGGTTGCGGGCTAGAGAGCCCTAGCCCTGGGGGACCCGGTGCTCGTTCGCAGGGAAAGGGCCGTAAAGTAAACACGGTTCTCCGAGGGTTAGTCCGCGCTCCGGGTTTCCCCTAGCTGCGGAGCGCCCCCTCTACTCGGAGCTAATAAACACCAGACCTGAGCCCTGGTGTCAAGGTGTCGAGGCCCGGTGTCGAGGGTGTGTCGAGCTGCTGTCGAGGGGTAGGCCTGTCGACCTGTCGAGGCCTAGAGAAAAGGATCGGCAGTCCGGCGCGGGACAAGGGTGGCGAATGGGCAGCAGCGGACGCGCCTCGCGGCTCCGCGATGGCAGTGGCCGTACTGTGGGCGGGAGGGCGCCAGTGATGCAACCCCCAGAGAGGGGCTGCCATCGCCGAAGCTGTGCCTAAGCATAACTCCCAAACCCGCAGCGGCCCGGGGGGCCTTGGGGGCAGCCTGCCGGACCGCTGTTGCACGGGGCTAAGCACCAGAAGATGAATGTAGTTGATGGATGATGGATTGGGCTATCGTCCGTGCCTCCCCTCTTTTTGCGTCAGAGTGGGACCTACGCCGCGCCGGGTGGGGGGCGCGCCCGGTCCTCGACGGAGCCGCGCGCCCCGAGCGACCCAGGCGGCGAGTAGTCGTCCTCGAACCTCCGGCACGTAGTAGTCCGTGCTTAGCGCCCGCCTCCCTCCGCCCGTCCCTACTCAAACTGTTACTGGGGCGCCTGCGCGTTGTAGCCGAAGATGGCAAAGTTGCGTCTCGTGACGATGGCCGAGTGCTCTTGCAGGAAGCGCTTGCGCTCACCGCTGATCCGCCATCGCTCGCTGTCGGAGGATGCCCGAGCAATCTTAGTGGCGAAGAGTTGGTGGTGAACCACGCCGCCGCCTCGTGCCCGATGCCGCCGCGCGTGCTCGACGCCCACGTCATGAAGTCGAAGTTGTTGGTCTCGCACGCCGCGGCTTTAGCCCTCCTCTTCGTCGCCTCGGCGTAGTCGGTGGCGAGGCGCGTGCCGCGCGTCAGCGGGCGCAGCATGCCGAAGTGTACCGCGGTGACGCACGTGCCGTCGAACGCCGTGATACGCGCCGACCCCGTCCACTTGCCGCGAAGACGCCGTCGCCCCGCTGGTACGCAGACCGATGAGGCCGTGGGGGATGGAGCGCGCAATCGCGTCGCCATTGGCTGTGAAGCCCACCTGCAGCATCAGAGCCTTGCTGAGTTGTGTTGTGGTCCGCTAGTGCGATGGTGGCGGCAGCGAGGGTCGGTGCAGCGCACGTCGATCCTGCACGGTGGAGGGGATGAGGGGGGTGAGGCAGCTAACGAGTACAGGGGTCGTGCCTGTGCTCGAGAGAAGGGCTTCTATGTATTCGCATCTGGACGGCGGGCCGATGCTCGGGGCCCGAAATCCGATTGTACACGTGGTCGGCGCTGACTTTGACGGTCCAGTCGGGCAGCACGAAAGTTGCGGCGGAGTGCCCCATTGACATTGAGAGCTCGAGGCACTTTTGAGTCCCATGCTTGCCGAATTTAAACCGGCGCCCCCCGCATGTGCCATTGACGATGTCCCACCCCCAGTTGTCATGTTTGAGCTCAGACCCCCAGAACGACGCCTGGGCGGTGTAGCCGGCTTGGAGCTTCGCCACAAGGTGTGCCTCGGTGAGGTAGGTGCCATTAACGGTCAAGAGCCCGTCGCCAGAACCTACAAGCGCGCCCAAGCGAGCTCACAGGGACGAGGACTGAAGGAAGAGGAGGCTGAAGAGACGGGACCGAGAGTGAAGATAGCCTCCTCTATCTTTACGTTGACCGACAGACTGGGGGTTGAGAGGAAGTTGTACAACGCGTTGTGTCGGCCGCGAAAGTCGGCCTTGCCGCCGAAGGCAAAGTTTAGATGAGGATCCTTGATGACAATTGCGGAAGCGCAGGCGGCATTCCCCGAGCCGCTCATGATCCCTGGCCGATTCCGCGTTCGAGTGATCCGCGGCTGTGGGATCCGCGACGGACCGCGTCCAGTGGCAGTGCCCCGACGGCACGAATTTTCGCTAATTTGGGGGTTACAGTCAGCCGGGATCTAGGAATTTTTAGGTAAAATGACAAGAAGGAAGCGCTGGACCGATGCGCCAGTCAGCAGTCTTGGGATGACAGGAAGACGCACACACCTCCATCCACACCGCCCAGAACACCGCAGACTTGGGCAAAATGACAAGTGCGCGCGCCGCAGGCGAGGAGAAAATTTGAGCGGGGCTCCTGTTCACACTCGTGTGTGGGCCCTTTCTTGGGGCCGCGCCTGCGGCGCGCCGTGGTTTCTTAGATTTTCGCGGAAATTGCTTGGTAGGGTTTCTTAATGGGACGCTTTCTTAATGCCCGCAACAGACTGTAAGCAGACAGTTTTTGGTTCATGCGAGCGAGAGAGAGATTTTGGAAAAGCAACTTCTCTCTCTCTCTTCATGCGTGACCGCGTTGAGCACTTGAGCACTGGATAGGGTCGATTCCGCATGGTACGGAACCCCTCGATCGTCTCGCCCTCCCTCACTCACTGGTGTGTTCATTGGGGGGGGTCCTAACAAACACGGTACAGGATCGAGGTAGGTGCACGCTGCTGGAGCAGTGTCGTCCCCCCTCTTCATCATCTCACTCGAGGGAGACGTCGTTGACCGCGTTGTACACCCGCCAAACGCGTCCTCTGCCCTCGAAAACTGCGTACGGCGCGAATAGAGAGTCGAAAACAGAAATCGAGAAACCCACATGTCACGGCACCGCCGGCTCGATCCCACGATAGCCTCCGAAGGCTGACTTTGAGGCACAAACAACCATCGGACGATGTCGACGAGTTGGGTCGCTCTCGCGGTAGGCAGATGACCTCCCATACTAGGAGCTTCTGCCTTTTCGCAGGGAGCGAGGGCGCCGGGAGGGGGAGGGCAACGCCGACACGGAGCTCCCCGTCTCTGCGGTCTCTCTGGTCCGTCTCAAGCGTCTCAAACGAAAACGAGTGGCCACATTGTGTTGACTTCATGACACACCCCCTCAGTGGCCCTCGCCGCCCACGTTGCACGATTTGCAGCAAGCCGTATAAACTACTTCACTATACGTTTTGTGAGAATTTGTGTCGCCGGCTCTCTCGTCCGCGGTCCGGCCACGCTAGAGGGCCCACAGCGTCCTAATCTAAAATCTGAGGATTAAGGATTCGGCCTTCGCTTTAGTGAGGCCAAAGTGAGTTTATGGATGTGTGAGAACGGTACGGGACACGAGGAGGCACGCGGACCGACTCGTCGGCGACTCTGCTGCACGCCGTTTCAGAATTTTTCTCAGCGTGAGCGAGACGTGGAAGAGTGCCACCGTCGGGTAGAACGGGCCGGCCCGGAGCATCGGAGTAGCCGTCGTGGTCGCGGCGAGCAGCACCGGCCACTCCGGCGCTGCGTCGGCACCGTGGGAGCATGTCCACCGCCACTTCGCGGTCGCAGCGCTGCTTGTCGCCCGAAACGCCGCATATCCCTCTGGCGGGCCAAAGATCGACTCGCATGTCGATTTTGACTCGACGGCGGCATGGAGGCATCACGTCTCCATGCCGCCGTCAAGTCGGAGCCAGTCTGCGGCGACCACAGCGCTCACCGCAGGGATATGCGAGCTTTTCAGAGTCAAGCTTTGGGCGCGAAATCCCACAGTGGCGGATTTTGCTGTGGGCCCCCTAGCCACGCCTCGGCCCTCGCCGCTCACCCGCTCGCTCCGCTCTGTGTGAGCGCCTTAATCCGTGTATTTTGTGTTGAGTCGCTGTAGCGATATGTCAATGGCGCACGCTACAAAGGAAGGTGGGGGAGAGAGGGCGCGAGAGAGGGCGAGAGAGGGCGAGAGAGGGCGAGAGAGGGCGAGAGAGGGCAGCTAAAATGGTATCGTCCTCCCCGCCCTCCAGAACCGTCCCGACTCGAGCCGCCTCGCCGCCGCCTCGCCGCCTCCCCCGCCGAGCGCGCCAGCGGCGAGCCGGGCGAGGTCGTCCGCGGCGCTCTCGGGCGAGGCCACACCCTCGTGACGCTCGCAGGAGCACATGCGCGTCCGCACGTCACCCGGGCAGGCGGCGCCGACCCACACGCCGCCGTCGCGCGGCAGCGCGTCGCCGACGAGCCGCGTGTGCCTATTGAGCGCCGCCTTGGAGACAGAGTAGGCGGGGGTCGGCCCGTGGGCGGGCGGCCGGTCGGGGAAGCGGAAGCCGTCGCGGCCGCGACTTAGCCGCGCGAGGAGCCGCAGCAGCTCGCGCTCGGAGGCCGCGCCGGCCAGCCGCGGCGCGAGGTCGCTCGAGAGGAAGACGAGCTCGCCGTCGCCAGACGAGACGTGGAGGACGGCGCCGCGCCGTCGCCGCAACATGCCGGGAAGCACCGCGCGGGTGAGGGTGGCAGGCGCCAGCACGTTGGTGCGAAAGGAGCGGAGGGCGACATCGCGGCCCCAGCCTGGCTCGCAGACGGCGGCGTTGTTGACCAGGAGATCGACGCGGAGGGATGCACACGCGGCGGCGAGCGCCGACGTGCTGCGCGGGCACTCGGCGTCGAAGCTCGCGGCGTACGGCTCGGCGGCCAGGCCTCTGACCGAGAGGGCAGCAGCCGCCTCGCGGCACGCGGACTCATCACGGCAGGCGAGGACGACGCTCGCACCCAACTCCGCGAGCCGGCCTGCAGTCGCCAGGCCGATGCCGCGATTCGCGCCGGTGACCAGAGCAGTGTTGTCGAGGAGCATGCGCTGGCGAGAACGCTGGCGGGACTGGCGCACTGGGTTTGGCTTGTACAGACAAAAGAAATCGGCTCGGTTTCCAAGATCCTGCTCGCGAGAAAATGATCGGAGTGGGAGTCAGAAATGTGGTCCTTGCGCGAGGGGAGCTCGATAGACTCGAGGGGCCAGGATACGCCGCGAGGAGGACGGAGTTGCGCCGAAAGGCGAAAGAAGCCGCGAGAACAAGGGACCGGCAGGCGGCGGCGTCGCAGGACGAGGCAGAAGAGAACGACGCGACAGAGGAGGAAGTGACAAGGGAGAGAACGACGAGGGTGGGACGACCGCGAGGTGGCATGAAGGGTGCAGCGAGAATCGGCGAGAGACTGCGAAGAGAGATGGGCGGCGGGGTCTGCGATGCGATCGATGGACGAGGCGTCGACCCCGCCGGTGGCTTCCGCAGACGCGGGGGCGCCCCTGGCGGCGTTGAAGCGCGAAAAGGCAAAGTCGGTCGCGTAAGGGCTCGCTACCTGATAATCTGACGCCGTGCCGTCAATGGCGCCCTCGGCTTGGGCGCTGGTGGTGTAGGAGCCTGAAAAAGGGTAGAGGTCCTTCTTGCCGTGCCGCTCGAGCCCCGGCGTGGCATAGGACTGCCCAACGATGCCGTGCGGCCTGTCGCGGGCCGGCGCGTCGCCTCTCGCTGTGAAGCCAATGTCTAGACGGTGCTCGGGGCCCGCGACCAGACAGCCCTTGCACGAGCGGCTGCCGTGCACCGTGACGGTCCAATTTCCGAGCTCAAATGTGGCGCTCGAGTGGTCCATCGACATTTTGAAGTCAAAACAAGCCTTGTGGCCGTGGAGGCCGAACCGGAACGGGCGGCCGACGCAGGTGCCGTTGACCACGCTCCAGCCAAAGTTGTTTGGATCCAGCTCGGACGCCCAGTATGACGCGGTGGCGAGCTTCTGCGGCGAGAGCTGCGTGGTGATGTGCGCCTCAGTGAGAAAAGTGCCATTGATGGTCAGGGCTCCGCCGTGCATCTTGAAGACAGCCGCTTCGGTCTTTACATTGACGGAGAAGCCGGGCGCAGACAGGAAGTTGTAGAGCGCGTTGTGGTGTCCGCGGAGGTCGGCGGAACCTCCGAAGGCGAAATTGATGTGTGGGTCGCGGAACACCTTTGCGCTGAGGTCGCATGTTTCTGAGGCCAATGACGCAGTGCAGAGTGGCAGCATGGCAAGAGAGAGGCGCGCTCGTCGACGCAATTTCGGCCAAATTTTCAAGTTTTAGGTTTGTTAGCAGACTTTTCAAGTGATCTTCCTCTTCATTTATGCAAAGGCATTTATGCTGAATGCAGCGGATATATATCCCCACAAGACTTGTACGCGAAGCTCTACAGCGTAGGACTGACGCGAGGGAGCAGGCGCGAAGGGCGACGGAGGCTGAGGCAAGGCAAGCGGCGAGGAGAACGGCGGAGGCAAGGAGAGCAGCGAAGACGGAGGCGAGGCGGGCGGAGAGGAGGTGGCGGCAAGAGTCAATGGAAAGGGAGGCGGCAGAGAGCGATTCGAGGGAGTTGGCGGCAAAGCAAGAAAAAATCACGTTGGTCGCGCTCTCTCGCCCGCCCCCTGCTATTGTGGACGGGGGCTGGTTGCAACCAGCATGCTCTTCTCCGGGCCGTGCTCGCGCGAGAACGAGGACCCGGACCGGGGCCTGCTCGTCCGAGGGCCACTCCCGAGTGGCCACTTCCCAGCCATGTTCGTCTGCCCAGCGTGTGGCGCGAGGCTCACTGCGGTGCTCCCGGACGACACGCCGACGACCGTCCGGTGTGAGTGCAGCAAGGAGTTTGTGGTCAAGCTTCCGCCGGCGCGCAAGACGAAGCGCAGGTACCAGGCGCCGCGGCAGAGCAACCTGAACGACGCCTCATCGTCAGAAGAGACTGACTCGTGCGCGCCGGGCCGCCGCGGCCCTCAGAATGGCCGCATCCCGCCCGTCTCAGTGCAGGTCCCGCGCTCGCAGGCACGCGTCGGTCAAATCGTTCCAGTCGTCGGCCACCTCGCACGCCTCGCACGCGCAGTCCGTCGTCTCTCACGCCTCGTGTGCGTCGGTGATGGTCAGGTGCACCGCGCACACTGCAGGGAAGGGGTGGGGCGGGTGTGTGTGTGTGGCGGGGGGAAGGAGGGGGGAGGGGGGGAGGGGGGGGGCGAGCGGCGCACTCCGGGTCGCACGCGCGCGCCCAGCCCCGCGCGGCAGCGAGGCCGCCTTGCGACGCGTCCCACACACCACCTCTCTCAGCCCTGTCCCCTCCCTCGCCCTACCCCGCTGGCGGCAGCAACTGCTCCTCGGCCTCCTCGGCAGTCAACGTCAACCTCTCAGACATGCGCGACTCCAAGTCGGGCGCGGAGGCACCGCCTCCGCACGCCTCTCCGCCGTTATGCCCTCGTTTTCTCCCCCCCAAGGAGTACGACTATCTTAATTTGTTCTCTACTATATCATCCTCCCGTCAGAATCCGTCTCTGCTCATATCTCCTTTCTAACTCTTTTGCCCACTCTCTCTCACCCTCCACTAACCCGCCTATTTCACCTTCCT